TAACTAAAGTAATAGTATTTTAATTTTTCGGATCTTAAGACATAATAAGACTTATTTTAATAGTACTTTAGCTTCGTGTCACGATGTCATGTCCAAGCGATGTTAGGTCGTTCATCAGCGATCAACTTGTAAACACGACGAACAAACTGCTGGCTGTAAAATATTGCTGCATTTTTGATCACTTGTCATCCCTGCATGATGGACGATCGGAGCAGAACACATCACATTGCGGTGGTGAACCTGCCTCAGTCTGAAAGTGCCCCAGTAGGTGCCCCCCAGTTCAGTTCCTGGCGTCCCTTTGCTTGAGAGCTCCACTTTGAGGCGAATTCCGCAGAACCTGTTGACAACACTTGTGCGACAAGCGAAACGATCTCGCTTTTTGCCTCCGCTATTTATTATGTTCACTAGTGCCTCGACTTGGCTCAGACGGCGATCCCGATTCCGATTCCGATTCAGAATCCGATTCGATGGTGGAAAAAAGTGCTGGCCGAGGTGTCGATATCGCACAATGATTTTAATGATGGCATCGAAACGAACCACTCGCCACAGACACACACAAAAAACATTGGGCCGCGGCCTGTTGCAGCAAATCGCTGAGATGCCAATGCTGATAATCAATAATTTTTATATTTTTGCCACATCGCTGGTCGGCTTTTGCAAGCCAGCTCAAAGGATGACTCGACTTGCTGTGTCAGCTCACCCCTTGGCCAGCCAAAGGACATGACAATAATCCTTAATTACAGCTCACCCAGAGCCGACGAAATTCGACTCATAATTGGAGTTCAATGATGCAACCACAATTGTTGGATTTTTTTCATTCGATGGGGGAGATTTAAAGTGATTACTTTACATTTTCACTCAGGAAACAGAAGTTTGTTATCTAAAACAAATTTTAATTTAAACTTTTTTGGTATTTAAAAAAATCAAATCGTTAAGGTTAGCTAGAACAGAAATAATAATTCGATAAATTAAAAGTTTACTCTTTATTAAAGATTCTTTTACGTTGAGTTCATCAATCAAGCTGCTTAAAAATTTTCGGTACCTCAAACGGAAGCACAATATTTCATTCGTTTCAATAAACAATAATAAACAAAAATGTAAATAGCCAAAACATTTAAAATAAATTTACTACAGTTGAAATCCCAGAATTTTTCAATAAGAACTTCTTAGGTTTGACAAAACTAGAACTTCTTAGGTTCCTTTCAATAATCCTTAAATATTCAAATCTTCAAGTCAGAGAACACCATTCCATATTGCAGCTACCTTTGATTTTTCGTTTGAGTATTCCGAGTGCAAAACAAATTGACAGCCAAAGCGAGTTTTCCTTTTTGCGGATTTGGCGATGTTCGATAGTGTCAAGTGGAAGGTCTCCTGTGACTACGACAGACTTAACTTAACCCCAACAGCAGCAATCGCACATATTCTTTTATTAATGCTGAAAACGAGCACTTGTTCATTTTTGGTTGGAAAAGTGCCAACAATTCCATCAAAGCACAACCCTTTGAGTGTTGAATTTGCCTGTCACGTCAAGAGGGCTACCCATCACCGATTTTCACACATTTTCCCCCGAACCAAAAAACATCGAAATCGCATTCAGCTGATTAGGTTCGAGGTGTCTGGAGTGGAAATTGGGAAATTCCACTGGTAATGGTGATTGGTAAACCGCTTACGACTTTGGCAGAGGGTTCACATACCTACAATCAATGTCGGCAATTAAAAACATGGCCTAGAGTTTCGCAACTCGAGGGAAAACTGATACAGAAGCTGAAAGCCTGGAAAGACAACTTGATGTGCAATAAAAATGTTGGCCTCTACAATTCGAAAAAGAGACCCCCAGGAAATGGGAGTTCTCGAAATTGGATTTCTGACCCTTTGGCCAGCCATGTGTGAAGGTCCTTGGCCATTTCTATTTGCATCTAATACATAAACATAATGCGTTAATTTCAAAGGAGCTTGGCAAGGAGAAAAAAAAACATATGCAAACAAACGAAAAATATTTCCTTTTTTTTTCTGCGGCTGGTAATCAAATTTGCGATGTTGTTTTGTTTATTTTTTTATTTTTGCCTGCCACATCTTACTGAATTGCTTGGTCGAGTATTCCCACAGGATTTTTTGGGGGGTGACCGCAGGACAGGACACAGGACATGAGCGATACAAATAAACAAATGATGTAAATTTCATTTTCCAGGACTTTGCATTGCTCAAATATGAAAATGTGAAAATATGAGAGGCCAGGGCAGGACCCTTAAATAAATTACAGGAAATTTATTTTACAGTCGAAGGAGATTCAGGAAAAGACCGAAACTATTTGAAAAGTGTGGGGGGTGTCTGAAAGTCCCTTTCGGAAATATTAGATTCATCAAAGTTCAGCAGATTTGCATTTATTTCACATTTGTCATGGACCAGCTGCTGCTACCAAAGGGTCTTAAATGTCAGCCTCATCATCATCGGACTGCCGGTGCAGACATTAAAAACCACTTTTCGAAGGCGGAAAATCCTCAAACTGATTGGCATAAGCCAAATATGTATGGAATGAAAAATGTCAAATAATTCCGAGATTCACGCACAAAATGTCAATTTCAATTTAAGGCTTCGAATGAAATGAATGATTCGGTTTTAATTCTGGTGGAGCAAGTTGTACTGCGATTTTCAGGGTGGTGTGCCATGGTGTTTGGTTTTCTTGAAATGGAAGTTTTCTTTTGCCTGCCATAAAATGTTTGGCATTAGCATATTAATAGCTTCGATAGCGTTAGTTATTCGACTTGAAAATCAGGAAATCACACGCACATACTCATCCTGCCGCACAGGACACTCGCGGGTGCCATAAAAAATTCACACAACAGCAATCCTGCAGCTCAGATCCCAACGATTAAAATTATGCAAACGCATTATATGGTAGCCTGCATTTTTCGAATGGAATGGGACGTATCTAGGGAGCCATGGGCCGTAAACACTCAATATTGGTTGCCGCAGGAAAAGATTCTCTTTAAAAGTAAATTGCCTAGGCAGTCTCTATGCAAATGTGGAAATCGCACAAAGCACTTAAAACAGATCCAGATAGAGTCATCTGGAGCTGGGGAGTCCTATTATAAGTGTTCACTTGCTCAAAAGGTTCATAAATCAAGTACAACATTGTTTTTGGATACGGCAAGTGGCTCTACGATACTTATGTACTTTTAATTGCTCTGTGACACTTCTCTGAACCTTGTGCGTTCATTCCTTGTAAATTGTGTAAGGATTATCAACAGCTATAAATTAAAAATTAAAAAAAAAAACACAAATCAAAAAAATGGCTTTGGCAGTTGCTGTTAATCGAAGCTGTTTTTGAAATTTGAATGTTCATCAATATTGATTATTGGTTTTTGTTTGGCTTGTCAAATCAAATTTTTTCTGTATGAAGCAAAACCTTAAAATATTAAAATGTTTGAAAATCGAATTTATACATAGGTAAGCTGTTGTCTAGAAAGAGATAAATACATATGTTCATATTTAAAGATCATTTTAAAAATCAAATAATTCTAATTGCTTTTAAAGGTAAATAATAATAATGTTCTTGGTTTTCACAAGTGCTTTTACTTCTCACTTCTCTTATCCGACTTTTCATATGTGGAAAATTGATAGACATCTTTAAAAAAGATATTAAATTGCTTAGTGATCATTTGCTCAAGTTAATTACACATCTAACTGTTGGAACTAACAAATAAGATACATTTTCTAAGTTTTCACAAGACCATTAACTGCTCAAGCTCACTCAATCGACTTTTCATAGGGGGATTGATTGGCAGGGGCAAGGATGTTGGTCTGAGTGCAGGACAATTACCACGACTGCCGGCCAGGCAAGTGCAACTGTGTGCAACTTTGCCTATCTTGCTGCCTATTCAAGTGTCCATTTTTAATTAACACTCTGACAATTTGACGCGAAATGCATTTCGAGTGAGTATGCAACCAGGAACCACGTGTGCGATTGTGTGATTGTGTGTCCGTGTGGCAGGACTAATGTTGCCACTGCGGCGCATGCATGCCGATGAGGATGAGCCTCTGGTTTTGTGGATAGCTGAGAGCTCTGCGCTGAATGTTTAGAATGCAATTGACGTGTCAGAGGGCAAAGGCCCAGGGTCGACGGAATAGGGGGATGGCGAAAAGGGGCAAAACATCAGACAATAAAGGGGGTGGCTGATAAATGTTGCATGCGCCTGTGTAACCCAATTACCGCTCTGCAAATTACCCACTCCGGACAAAGGATTTGTGTGCCGAAGTGCAGGAGTTTGGGGCCACATTCCTAGACTCGCTTTGCATAATTGATGACAAATTGAAATCATGTTTATGCCATAGAGGCTGGGACATTCCATAAAATATTTCGCATAGATTTTGATGCGGACAGTCTTCGCCTCAAACCCACCAGGACTTTTTCTTTTCCACGACTTTTTCCTAGGCCATAAATCCCGGACTGGCCAGGCCAAATCAAATGGGCAATGGATCAATTTGCGGTTGATGGAGCTTAGCCGCTTGAGTCTTCCTCTCGGGGCTCGTAAATCGCCATGAGTGGGGGCTATAAATTTTCAATTGGTCAATGGGTAAGGAAAGGGTAAAAGGACACTTTACCAAAAAAAAAAAAAAAAAAACAGCCTAGCTGGAAGTTAGCTAACATTAAAGGACCATTTTCCATTTATTAACTAAAGAACATTTATCTATTTGTTTATTTAAAATTTACACATAAAGTCTTTTTAAAGAATAAACAATCCAAAATGGAGTAGTTGCATTTTTTGAATAAAATTTAAAATATCCAACTGAATTTAGATATAAATTTGGCCGAATGGAAGTGCTAAATATAATGCTCGGTGACGCCGATTCATTACTATTAAGCTTTAAGGATCTGCTGGTTTCTTAAAATTTGTAATAAAACTAATAACAATAAAACGACTTATAGAACCAGGACTTAAAACTCATCCTAAAAACTCAAATTTCTCTGTAAACATCAAAATTTTCCGTTATTGAGGTACAGTTTCGTATCTTGGCCCGAAGATGTCCATTTCGGTGAAGCGGAGGACGGTGATTCCGCCGCAGGAGCTGCTGAAGACGCTCACCCTGTCCGGCGAAGAGGATCTGGACGCGCAGATCAAGAACTGGGTGATGTGGGACCGGAACGAGGCGACACTGCAACAAGTGACCGAGGCGGTGAAGGACCAGGATTGGGCAGCCCTACGGGTGAGGCTGTGCCACAGGATCACCTACTTATCCACCGGTCTGAGGGGTGGCATGCGGGCTGGCTTCGACTCGCTGAACGATGTGGTCATCATCGAGGTGGCCCAGGGCATTTGTGCCTACCTCCTGGAAGTCTATCCGAGTCTCCAGAAGCGCCAGACTCAGGGCGTGGTGGTGGGCTACGATGGCAGGTACAATAGCAAGCGATTCGCCCAGCTCATTTCCACTGTGTTTGTGAACAACGATTTCAAGGTGTACCTCTTCTCACGGATGACTCCGACGCCTTTTATCCCGTTCACCATTGTGACCCTGAAGTGCTTGGCCGGGGTTGTGGTCACCGCATCGCACAATCCCAAGGAGGACAATGGCATCAAGGTGTACTGGACAAACGGGGCTCAGGCGATGGCGCCGCACGATCAGCGGATTCACGATTACATGCTGAAAAACCTGGAGCCCAAACCTTCGTCCTGGGAAACTTCGTCTCTGCTCGATAATCAGATGGTGGAGGATCCCTACCGTCAAGTATATCCGCTTTTCTACGCCACACTTAAGAAGCTTGTGCCTCCGATTTACCTGGAAACCAACGAGTGCAGCCAGTTGCGGTTCATCTACACAGCACTCCACGGAGTGGGCTATCCCTTCATGAGGGAGGCCTTCTACCAGGCGCGACTGAAGCCCGTAATTCCCGTGGCCGAGCAAAAGGATCCCGACCCGGAGTTTCCCACTCTCACCAAGCCCAATCCGGAAGGTGAGTTCTGGGCTGGAGAACAGAAAGTTTGTATCTTTAAGCTAGATATTGGTTCATTAAGTTGGTGCTAGACGATGCACAATATATAAAAACCATTCAGGGGGAAGCTCTTGTCAAAGTGAAAGTTTTTTGCTTTATTCAAAATTCAAATGTTTTTAATTGGTGGTAAACGAAGCATCAGCAGCCATTACCAGCAGCTCAAAATATATAAATCGCTCCGATAATTTTCTCTTCAGAGGGTATTTCGTGTAGGAAAGTAAGATTGTAGATTCATTCAAAATTATATTCTTCAAGTGGGTGGTAGACGATGCATCAGCAGCAATCAAATTCCTATTAAAGAATATATGCACAGAATATAAAAACTAATCAATTTTTAAAACATATTATTTTAGAGGGCAGGGAAGTCCTGAAGCTGGCCATCAAAAAGGCAGAGGCGGAGCACTGCACCCTGGTCCTGGCCAATGATCCGGATGGTGATCGCCTGGCCGTTGCAGAATTGGATCCGCGGGGTCGCTGGAAGGTGTTCAATGGCAACGAACTGGGCGCTTTGCTTGGATGGTGGGCTTTGGAGAACTACAAGACCATGACGGCCAAGCCGGCTGTGTCCAATTGTGTTATGATGGCCACTCTAGTCAGCTCGCGAATCCTGGCGGCGATGGCACGGACGGAGGGATTCGTGTTCGTGGAGGCAATGCCCAGTTTTTCATGGATTGCAAATCGGGCCTTGGACCTGCAAAAGTCCGGAAGGACGGTACTCTTCGCCTTTGAGGAGTGTTTTGGCTACATGTTCGGGATGAGTCTGCCGGATAAGGATGGAATCGGAGCCGCCATGCAGTTGGCCACCATGGCCTGTCACCTGCGCAGTACACGGAATGTGACGCTGATCGAGAAACTGAGGGAGATCTACGACACCTATGGCTACCACCCTTCGGTTTCGTCAGTGTTTATGGCTGACAGTCCAGACACAATAACGGCGATCTTTGAAAATTTGCGCAACTTTACGGATGTGGGTGGCTATCCAAACTGCATTTTGGAGGGTGAATTCGATGTGGTGCACGTCCGGGACTTGACCACTGGACTGGATACCTCCGTCGACGACAAGAGGGCCCGCCTACCCGTAACTCCTGAGGCTCAGTTGATCACCTTTACCTTCACCAATGGCTATATGATTACCCTGCGATCGGCGCTGAACGATATTAAGATAAAAGTGAACGCGGAGATCTGTGCTCTGCCGCAGGAGAAGGAGTGGGAAGAGCTCCATGACATGCTCAATCGAATGACCAACGCCGTGGTCGAGGAGTTCCTCAAACCCGAGGAGAACGGACTCACTGATTCCTCAGCAATTCAACAGCCCTAGTTAATTATTCTATTTATTTTTATTATTTTATATAATAAAGGATGGTAACAAACAATTATATCAAGATATTATGTGTACGAAGGCTTAAAAGCTCAAATAAAATATTCAACTTTTTTCTAAAACTGTAGAATTTTGGTTTCTATTTTAAATAATATTGATAAATAATAATATTAAAGGTAGTTGATATTGCATTTGATATCAAATTTTGATATATTTGGAATTTTATTTTATATTCTGCTTTGAAGCTTGTTGATATTGGTTAACTACATTTTTATTTACTAATCCAAGGGTCTATCGAGTGTGGCCCCAAAGCTGCATAATTTATAAATTTATAAATTTTTAAATTTAGATTATAGATTTAAATTAAAAACTTTTTAATGAGTGCCAACGTCTGCAAAACTTTTTTCTTTATATATACACGTAAGGAAATGTAGTAATCAGTTTACAAAAACTGATTTGAGGATAACCTTTGCCTTTTCCTATTAAAGCGCTGTGAAAATGTGTAAGGTAAAGTTGGAAGGGAGCCGAAAAAGCCGCAGAACGCCAATTAAGCGTGCAGAGCAATTGCCAACCATGTGGGTTATGTGGGCCAAAACAGAGGCAGTCCAAACATGGCCAACATCATCCTTTGTTTTCCCACCACACAGACGCATCTGTATCTCTAACCGAGCGAAAGTATCTGGCAAGACAAACACTGAAATTTTATAGTTTGCCTGCTAATTGCACTCTGGGGGTGCTTTCACCTCCCACACCTCCCACACCTCCCACACCTCCCACTGCAGCCCCTTGCCAGCCCGCTCCACCTCCCTGATTGTGTGGTAATCGCTTCCGATTGTGCGAATCAGCAAAAGTCAGCTCACATAATGAAAACAGTGATTAAGAGTTGCCTGGGCCATCATCATGTAAGTCGTTTGGAGTTTATAGCCTGCAAGTACAAGGCTCATTGTTTCATTTTGGTTTTTGGGCAAAACCTTCTCACATATTTGCTTAACAGGTCAAACGGAATATTTCAATAGCTGGAAAATGGAAAGTGCGCTGCTCAGGTAAACAAGGCGATGATCCCCGAGGTCGTCGTCAAGTCAAATTTCATTCGAGACAAAAGGTTCGCCCACCACTCACATGAAGACTTCTCATATCCTTTCCACTTCCATGGCCATTAAATTTTCCCTAAAATACAAACTCGAACGGGGATCCAAACGCACACGAATTAAATATTAATCCCTGTCGACGAGTGGGTTTCTTGTTTTTTGTTTGTATTTTTGTATTTTTCGATGGGTTCCGCCACGTTTTACACGGTTAGTGGCGATGCGCCAAGGTTAGTGCATTATTAAGCACTGTTTATGCGACATTAGGAACATAAAAGGCGACCCAAAGTCGATGTAAATAAGACAAGGACCCCTGGCAAATCAACAAAATAAAACGAATGTCCCACATGTGGGTGGATGGATGGGTTTCATTTTGGGTTTGGAGGCATTCGAAAATTTGGATACTCCCATTAAAATAACTAAGAGGCTTTTGGGCTGTAAAGGCGGGTATATTGAGTGAGACATGTTATTTATTGGGGTGGATTTGCGGACATTTCATGGATTAAAATGTGCCACTTGATATACTTTACAGAATCTTTAAACTGAAGAGTTGATTTGATGTATTTGTAAGGACTTGAATGTATAATAATTTATAAATTGCTGTAATTGCTATCGTGTTTTTGGGTGAAAATACATACTTTTGTAGTTAATAGTTACTATAGTAAGAATTTTGTAAACAAAATGCTATTAAAATAATATATTATATAATAAAAAATTTATCGAAAAGCCTGTGATTCCTTCAAAATCATTACTTCTAATTCTGATTTATAAATTTATGATGTGATGCTTTTAATACAAGCGAACTGAAATGTATCAAAAATACTTAAGTAAATATAAATTCAATTACCAAGTTTTTAATCGGCAATGTGATATAGAAAGGCTCTCCGTTTTGTGCTCTTTGCAGCCGCACAAATTCGATTTTAATCCGTTTGCCATGGACAATAACGCAGCAATTGCAACCGCTGGCTATGTTCAGCAGTAGGATTTTGAACATCCTGGCCTTGTGGCACATATGTTGTGGATATTCTGTTACACCAGCCAGGGGGTCCGCTGTAATGAGGACCGACCGTAGAACCACCCTCAGTCCTCGAATGGCTACAAAAAAAAAAACGGGGTGCCAGCGGCACTGGGACAATGGCATCTTAAATTCGCATTCGAAATGAGGCGAGCGGAGTGCGCTGGTAAATTGATTACGTGCCACTTGCTCACATCATCAATTTCAGTCCATATGCGCGAAAATCCTTTGACTAACGAGTGCCACAGGACCAAGGACCAAGCACTAAGGACACAGCAACACGGCACCCACAAATTGTTAGTTGACACTCGAAATTTCTGGTGTTCAGCATCGTTAATTAAGAGCATTTGTTGACTTCCGCTGCGGTGACCGTTTATATGCTGTTTGTTTTTCTTTACACCCGATTTCCTGCGGTTCCGAGGGAGGCTGTTTGGTGATTGTAATCACAGGATTATGTATTTTGATAGCAGAGTGACATCAAGTGTTTGGTGGGTGATTTTAAAGTTTTCAATTATGTGTTCTCTGAAGTAAAATCAAAGCAAAGGTAGTATTATATTTAACAGCGGCTGTTTTTGCCTTTTTAAAATTTTGCCTAATAACTACCCTCATATAGGGGTTAAAAAAGTTCTGCAATTTTTGTTTATAGTGAAATGCCTACTTTAGCCAACATTAAAATGTTAATGTTTTAGTAAAATATTTGAAATAAGATAATAAGAAAAAAATCTTATCAAATAAACTTAAAAATTTCTACAAATTATTTACAAAAAAATTTTAAATGTAAAAACTCTTAATAACTGTTAAAAACTATCATTCTGTAATAATAGACCCCTACACAACGATTTTTAGTTCTCCCTATAAAATCGTAAACGAAAAAGTTCTGATTTGTTCCCTTTTTTTTGGCAAAAAAATAGTTCTAAGTTCTACAATAAATATGAATTCAATCAATAATTCATTAGTTTTACGGCAGCTGCAAGAATCGTGGTCCTTCGCGTTTTCGCTCACTCCCTCTCGCCGCATCTCTTTCTAACAATTTGTTTTTACTGTTTTATTGTTTTCGTTTTTGTCGCATAAAAATGACAACAAATTAGTTTGGCTGCCGTCGGTGGTTTCCCGCTGGGTTTTTCACAGTTTTGTTCGATATCCGTTTGTTTGTTTGCTTTTTTTTTGCCCGTCTTTCCCAACTTTGTGTGTCCTTGAGTGCTGGCCAATAAATTATGTGAAGGATGCTGTCACTGCAGCGCCTCCCTAAAATCTGACAAATCGGGCGGGCTAAAGGCTAGGGATCGGGGTTTCGCTTTTTTTTCGAATCCAGCGAGGGCGCGACGTGTTTTTGATTAGCTTTATTAAATATGCAAACAATGAAATGCTGTCCTGTTTTTTCCCACATTGTTTTTGTGCACAAAAGTGTAAAATTCGTCGGAAGCTTAATTGCCGGAACATTTCTATTAAATAAACTCGAAGGTAAATGGAAAAAAGCCTGCAAAAAATGTTTAATTTAATATGCATTGCTTACAATATTTCCGTAGCAGCCACAACCCTCTAGATTTCACGGCTCACAAATTGCTTGTAATGCATTTTAATTTTGTTTGTTTTTTTTTCTAGCTCCTGCAATAAATAACATTTTTTTTAGACGAATTTGAAGTGAAAATGTGCTCATAAGTTACCTTTGGATCTTGGGTGCGACCGGCAATTTACATGATTTTCCCGTATTCCGCAGCTGTATGAATATTTGAAACAAATGTATTTTTTCGAACTGGGATATAGTCGGAATTAATATTAATTCACTTTGGTCAGTTTGGTTTTATCTATTTCTTCTGCTTTGAACAAGAATTTTTTCTTTCACCAATAAGAACAATTTGTTGCTATAAGAGAAATTTCCAACGTCTAAGAGAAAGGCGAAAAGAGTCAAGACCGAAGAGAATGGCAAACTGCTTTATCGACGGGCGCTAAACTCGACTGCTTTTTGAGTGTGTTCTAATTTTTTTTTCTTTTGAATTCTTCATTTATTTTGTGGGAGTAAACTCTTTTAACTAATTTATTAAAGATACAAAAGATATTTTAATTAGGATAATTTTCCATTTTCAATATGAACAAAAAAGGTTTCTTTTCTTTATATATTATAATTTTTTCATAATTTTTAAGGGATTATATAATCAAAAAAATGCGTAAAAATTCAAATTTATCGTCATATTAGGATTAAAAAACATTCCATTTTATATTTTTGCCTAAATACGTTATTTCTTTATTGTTTATGTTTCATATGCTACTTAAATATAATTGTTATATATATTTTGTTTTATTTCATTTAAAATACTTTCAGCAACATGTTGCGGATTGCCAAACAAGAGTTGAAATTTAGATTTATGCTTTGTTAACTTTATTTTGTTAGATGTTGTTGTCAATGCAGTGTCACCATTTTGGAGATTGGGTTGGATGGGTGGTGCTCCGAAAAGTGTGTGGAAAAGTGGAAAAGAGTTACGAGAATAGGATTGGAATGGCAGGGAAAATGCCCCAAGGGAACGCAACGGAAATCTACGTCTGCATACGGAGATGCTATTGCTCTTATCCCTGCTGCTCATGTTGTTGCTTTAGTTACTGTTGCCATTATTTTGGGTGAAATTTTCACCCTTTTGCAAGGACACCACCTCCCAATTACCCCCCGCATGTAAAAGAACAGTAACAAATAACTGAAATGTCAGAAAAGTGCACATATTGCATGAAAAAGGGTTCATTAGCAGCATCAATTAAAGTTGGAGGCTCGAAAAGGTTAGTTACAAAGCCCAGTTAGAAAGATATAATTATATTTTAAGAGATATAAATGAATATTTTAATTATATTTCACTGCAAGTTGCCAAATAATTTTACATTTAAATTAAATTAAGTCAAACAAAAATAATGTTCTGTATTTGGTCATACGTTTTAATAGTAATGGAAAAGGCCACTGTTAAGCTTAAAAAGGAAAGTTGAGTCCTCAATATATTTTGAACCACTAATTGAAGTATATAATAATAATACATTATATCTTAAAAGTTTTTGGCATAATTAGATACTTTAGACAACAAGCGAAAGCGATTTTATATTATTTAAATTAGGCTTAAGAGCACTTATGTTCTATCTTTAACTTTTTATCAAGCTATTTTAAGTCATAGACCAAAGCTTAAAGGTGTTTGTCCTAAATCAATTCTACTTCGTCTTGCTCATCCTTTCAGATTTCCATCATTTGTTTGCTTCCAGTTTTTCCATCAATTATTCCCAGCAATTCTGTCAATCTCCCAGGGAATGAGGAAAACTCTCAGACTCTTCTGTTTTCCCGCTTTTCGAGTGGGCATTGTTTAACAATTAACGGAACAAGTTGTTTAACTTTACCTAAACGATTTAAGTCAACAGAGCTCTTTACCCAGCCTCCTTCACTCGGCTTTATCCTTCATTCACTCCGTGGGCCGACTGTCCTCGTCACTTGGTCACCGGAGGAGAGGATCGAGGGGAAGAGGCAGTGAGTCCTGGCAGTGCTTCCGCTTCCGATGACTGCACAAATCGTTGGACTCCTTTTTTTGCCGCTCCATTTCCATTTTTTTTACCAGCTTTTTGCTCCTGCTCCTGCTGAAATGACAGAAATTCGTCAGGAAACAGTTCGTTTTGTTTGGTTCTCGTTTGGCGGCACTCACCTGACTCATCCGACTCACCTGCCCATCTTTTTGTCTCTCATACTCGCCTTCCTGAACCTTTTTTGTTTGCTTTGGTTTGAATGCCAAAAAGTGCTTAAGACTACGGCTCTTCATGGACGCCGAAAGGAGGTGCAGATAAGGGCTTTAACAGAAACAAAAATGCATGGGTTAAAACCGTGTCTATTATTTTTAAAATTTACAAGAAAAAGGTACTAAAAACATATAATGCAAATGCGTGTAAAAAAAATTGTTTTTAAAACTTTGGAATGCTTTGGATTTTTTAAAAGTCTTGTTTTTTTCGCATAATCAATTTTTTACAAATTATTATTATATTAAACAAGTATTCTGTAGTTGATAAATGCTTGTCATAAGCATTATTTTTTAGAAAACGCAGTAAATCCAAATATTTAATTCATCCATGGCGGTTTATAATTGTTTAAAATATGAAAATATTAATTTTTTAAAATTTTTTTTGTCAAATTTGGCAATTGATTTTAATATTTAAAAATGTAATTTAAATTTAAGCTATATATAACTTTAATAAAATGTACTTAATTCGAATAGAACCTATTTTAAATGTAATATTTTTCACATAATTTCAAATATTATAATATTAAATCATGTAATTTAATATGCCTAGTAGTTATTATTATGATTTCAAAAGCCAGATATGTATTTTTTTCTATTCCATATTTTTATCAGTGGAATAAAACAACTTATTTTTGAGTACTGTGGACGCCCTTGGTTTAGCCTTGCATTTCTGCCCACCCACAGTCAGTTGAAAGATTCCTTTGGAACTGGCAGCGTGCGGCTTCAATAATTAAATTTGCGACATTTCAACGCTCCGGCGATCAATGGAATGGAATTAACTGTTGTCAATTATCCGTCGCCGCTTTCATGCCTCTAAATAGCAAATGCAGCAAAAGCAAAAACAGAACCAGCAGCGAAAAAGCAAAAAGCAAAGTCAAGCGATTGCCGACAATAAAATGTCACTTGATCGCTGCATTGGCGCTCGTGTCCAACTGAATTTAGGCATCGCCGGCGGTGGTCACTCTCTGGAAGTTGGATCGGAATTAAAGGGGCAGGGTGGTGAGGAGCTCCACAGAAAAAAATTAGGGCTTAATTAGGCATTGTGTTAAAAAAATTGCTGTTAAAGCATTGGTTATTAAATTATAAATACTTACTACAAGTTCTAGTTGCGTAGGTTGTACTTTATTATTATTTAGTAAAAATACGTCAAAAACTATTTTAATTTTTTTTAAACTACTATTGATAACCAAAATTTTTTAAAACTCATTTTAAAGTAATACAAACTAAACTATTATTACATTAATTATAAACTATTGGGACGAAAGTCCGATGGATTCAATACGATAGACAGCGGTCTTTTTTCAGATTTTAATGCTTAAAGAAATTTTTATAAATGATTTTAAACCTCTTTTGACTTCTGTAGCACCACCCAAACAAATTAAATTTAATCGTAATACTTTGATAATTACAGCACTGCAGCTAAAATAAAAGTTAAGATATTTCTGCTCTTAGTTCACTTCTTTTTTACCAAGTTTTTTGTTTTGTGTATAACTTGGGTGGATGGTGGTTACCTGACCAGGTGGCGTCGATCTACCGCAACGCTCGACCACACAAGATGCTTAATTTGTTGCAAGTTGTCCGCTGTCTCCGCTTGACTCCCCATCAATCAGCAGCCGATTGCGACCAACTGGAATGGTGCAAGAACAAGCAGAAGAATTGCTTTTTGCGATAGTCCCGTTTCATCGAAAATTCAGAGCACGCGATCTGAAGCATGTTCTTTCGATTTCCCTCTATATCTAATTCTTTGCATTAAGCTTTCATTGAAACCCAAAAAAGCTTCTAATGTTTTCTTAGGTGTTTAACCTCAAAGCTTTACATCAGAAGAATTTAAGTAAGAGAGAGTCAGATCCGGTAGAAGAGAATAGACAAAATCAGATTCTTCAACAGATAATAAGATAGAGCTTAAATTGAGAGAGTTGAAGCTCAGCTTGCACCTGGTTCTTTGCCAAAGTCAAAGGTTGAATCATGCAATTATAATTGGAATGAGCCATCAACTAAATTTAGAGATTAACTGTGTTTAAAAATTCAATAAAAATATAAACCTGACACAATATGTATGCTCAGAAGTAAAAACTATTTTAGCTCGATTAGAATTTTTAAATTTGTCTCCAAATCAATTATTTTATTTATTTATAGAGGTTTGTATGTTACTTAAAATAAGCTGCTCCTCATGGGAATAAATACTAAACATTTTCTTTAAGAATGCCTTGAGTGAATCATAATTTATACATAGTTGAAAGATTTGAGTACTTATGATGAATTAATCTCTTTACCCGGGAATTCCTTAACCTTCTTGTGGCCCTCCCTTAATTAACCCTTAGCCGCGCTCCACACATGCCATCCACTCTAATGAAAATCTATCACAGTCAGCGCAGGTCCCGCTGAAAAAGTAAATTCATTACACTTTCCCAATTATGTGAGATACATTTTAATAAAGGCGACGGGAAAACCGCATCTTAATCAAGTAAATTAATAGCAGCGAGAAGGAACGAGTTGCCAGTCAGAGATCAAAGTAATTAATTATAATAATTAAAAACTTTTCGGCAGTCTTTGTCTCGCTCACTCCTTTACACTGAAGTTACCACCAACTTTTCAACATATTTTTGTAGAGGAGTGATGAGTGAGTAAGAGAGACGTAGTGAGTGTTCAAAAGTGCGTGCACCTGTTGAGATTTGAACAATTCCCCAAGCAAATCCCATATTCATATCTTGTGCTGCGCTCCTCCGCCTTCGTTTTTTATTCTTTCTAACTATTTTCCTGTTTTCTACGCTTTTCGGTGAAAATAGTAGTTTTTGTCACCGGTGCTTTTGTTGTTTTTGAGTGCACTAGTTTTTTAATCATCGCTAACAGCTTTGGAGGCTGTAAAATTCCGCTTGGCTGCCCTAATATACTAAAAGCATTTACCAACACTGCCTGCCACGCCCCCTGTCACACACCCACATACGCCCGATTAACCCACACGCCCATTTTCAATTGTTTGTGCTCAGCGGAGCAAGTACTGCGCACTTAGTGCTGTCCTTCTCTCGCACACAGTGGCGTACAAAGGATATTCGGGGTTAAAAACTCCCTGAAAAAATTAATATAATCATATTTTTTAAAATTTTTAAACGCATTTTTACATAGTGGTTATTGGGACTAATTTTACTTCCGGCCAAAGTTCGCATGAGTGAGTTAAACTTAATCTCTGTAGGCAATGCAAATTAAATTTTCTAAAAGTGTTTATATCTTAAAAAGTTAAAAGCTAATTTCCATCAAACATCCGTTTAAAAAAATTAAACAAATTTAAAATAATGAGAACTTGGTGGTCATCACATAGCAACACTAGTGATTCCTAAACCCAATTTTACATTTTTTTAAGCTCCCCCCTTAACTTAATTCTGCAAACGCCTCTGACTGCCTCACACTATTCATCTCTTTTTGTTGTGAGATTAAGCTTGAAGTGAAAGAGGATGAAGGATATACACCGGATGCATGTTACAGGATAGAATGTGGGATGCAATCATATAGAGTGTGCGAAAAAAGAGCACTTCAAAAGTGGAGGCAACCGCAATGAATAAGCTGCGACATCTGGAAGAGGCGTGGCAGTGCTCCCACTTGGAAGGAATTAATTGACCCAACCAAATGGCAAGCGAGAGAGAGAGAGAGACAGAGAGAGTGAAGAAAACTCTTACCTCTTAAGATTTGAGTTTTTATCAGAAAACGTAATCACTGCAAGCGATATTTAAAAAAATCAATAATAATTGATACTATATTATGTACTATATTTCTGGATTATTTAAAAATGTATAAAAATGTATAAAAATATAAAAATGTATATAATTAAAAATCTAACTCGTCAAAAGATTGTGTTTTATATGAATACTAAGCAACCCTATCAAAAAGCAACCCTATCTTAGAAAAAAATGTCTTCCTATTAAAATACTTTTCAAAAGGCACATATAACTAAACATCCTTTTTTAGCGCTCATTCTAAGTTATGAGAAAAGCCTGCGAAATGAAAAGCTTCCAAACAAAAACAATTGGTTTTTAATTCTGAAAATCGATAGCACCGTCAATACTTTTAAATGCAATACATTTAAAGCTCCCATTCTAGATATAACAAACTGATTTATAATTTACTTTACTTTAGTTTATTAAAGTTCACTCCATTACACTCAAAAATATCTAAATTCTATGCCGTCTTCCTTTAACCAGAGTACTGGGCGTCGGTCTTCTGGACGTTCAGAATGCCGTGTTGATCGGTGGCACCATGGACGGTGGTCACCTTCTGGTTGCCATTGGCATCGAAAGTGGTGGCGGTCTGATGGATTTGAACGGCGGGCACGGCTCCAGCTCCATAGCTTTGCTGGTAGCTGTTGGTGCTGCCGAATCCGGTGTTGGTGTTGATGGAGGAGGCGGTGTTGTAACCATTGTTGTAGCTTGGGTTGTACTGACCGTTATTGTAGTTGTTTCCCGTAGCAGAATCCTCACCGAAGCGGCTATCAAGACTGTAAAAATAAAATATTTAATAACAAATACAAATAAAATACATTAAATTCTATGAACAGAAATCAGTCAAAACTCTGATTACAAAAAAAAAAATATATTATTAAAAATAATAACTTCAGCTCATATGAGAAACTAAACTGTGATTATTGCGCTATAATTTTGAATAATATTTTTGATCACATATTTAAATAAAATTTGCAATTTGGGTTGGATAAAAACAAATTAATATGATATCCAAAATAGAGTCTTTTGTTTATAATGTCTAAAAATCAAGTTAACTGCCATTTGAGTGATTTCTTATGCAAATTGTAGTATAACTTACGCAACCACTGGAGCAGCAGCCTGCTGGGTGTAAGAGGTACCGGCGTGACCACTGCCATCGGGATTCTGAACGGAGTGCGAGGCAAAGGTGTAGCTGCCGCCATCTCCACTGGAGGAGGAAGAGGAGGATGACGAGGAGGAGGAGCTGAACACCTGGCGACGCAGACGCCTCAGCAGATGGGCATTCACAGGGTGAACATCCGACTGGTGGCCTTCCTTGTCCAAGGTGAAGAAGGCACGCGGCAGGAACTGACCAGCTAAAAAAATATATTAAAATTGTAATTTATTAATAATAATTATGATATTTATTTTCTAGAAGCTAGAGTAAAGATATATTTACATTTGTGCTTGAGAATGATTGGTTGTGACAAAGTCAGAATCAGAACATTAAAGGAATATTAATTATTATTATTTTAATGTTATTTGTATTATACTTAAAACCGCTACGACAGACAGTTTTACAATTTAACCCTCTGCAGCTAGACAAAAAGTAGACTTAATGATCATTATATCCAGAGTTACTTTGGTAAGTCAAAACAAAGCAGAACAAATCTTAAGTCAAATTGCGGAAAGTTTATATTATACATTAATATGACAGCTAAAATTCCTTATTGTAAAATAGGTTTTAAGCATTTGGAATCTTCTGGAACATTTTAATTTGTCTACTGATTTTTGTACTTAAATATTTTCTCTACCACCAATCCCGAAAGTATGCAAGCAATACGCCATCCCCAAACATTTAAAATTTCTATTTTAAGTGTGAAAGTTTGTCCACTCTCCATTTGCGTGAATGAAAAAAACCTAATGCGAATATGAATAGCTAAATTATTAAAAGCCGAAATCAATGTGCGGAAAGTTTCGATGGGCAAACATTGTCGCAAAGTTAATGAGGCAGCTAATTTCACAAACCAGTTCGGGTTTCGGATGGGTTCGATAGGTTTTTGGGTATTATTAACATACCCGCACCCGTCGTCCGACTTGTTAATCAAATTAATAATAAACATGATAGCGCAGCCTTGTCCAGCGATGATGTAATTGCAAAATGTGGCTTAAACACTTTAAGCACTAATTATAATTAACTTTTGACTTACCGGAAGAGGCCGAAGCGGCAGAAATCGCAAACAAGGCGATGGCGATCACAGCGTATTTCATTGTGGTGGAGCGGGGGAATCTGTGAAAACACTTTAGCACTTAGTGCGGGGTATTTTGAGGGGTCTGCGGGAAGGGGAGGGGGTAGCTTATCTATAGCTCAACACTCACAAAGGCGAACGAAAGACTGAGGCAGCGAACGCGTGAAAAGATCCAAATCGACTAAGCTCGCGGTGCGGCAACCCAGCGCTTTTATATGGAAATTTTTAGCGCTGACGTAGTACGAACCATCAACATCATTGTCATCATCATCATCATTATAATCCAAAAAGGTGGAAGAACAAGCAGAAGCCGTCAAACAAGCAGAAGAGTTGTGCAAATAACTCCACCGGTAGAATCAACAATAAACAAAAGAAGCCAGGCTATTAAAGATTTTAAAACCGGGCTCATACTCATAAAAATAAAGTTAGGCCCAGTGAATCATACGCCTTAATATTGTTACTTCTCTTGGTTAATTTTTCTCTCTTTTTCTATCTCGTCAATAAGGTTTTCTCACGAATAAATCCCCCAAAAAGTTAATCATAATGAAGAATACATGACTGAGCAGGCAAACCGCCAACTGGAAGTTTCTGTTCTGTTTGTTTTCACTTTATTTGTGTTTCGCATTATATTCGACTGCCTATGATATATGTATATTGGCCAAGTGCCCTTGCTCTTCCTCCTTGTTGTTCTTACCCTCTCATCGCCTTGAGCTTTGTTTTTGACCCTATTCGTGTTTGGCAGAAAAAGAACTGCTCGATTCTTGGTTTTTGCTTGGGGCAATAACCTGATTACAACGTGACCAACACCTAAACACCTAAGATACTGGGAATCCAACATGCATGCATGATAATTGTCTAGCGCAACCTATTAGTTTAACTAAATTAGTTTAATGGCTAGCATGCGACAACAAATTATAATAATATTTGAATTTTAATCAGATCTTGGAGGGTTTCTCCTCGCCATCTGTTAGAAATTGAACTGGTTTTACCGTGTTTTTGTTTGTTGTTGGCCAACCAAATTTAAACAAATCTTGTTATTTAACTTTACATTAACATATATATTCCAGGAAATCCTTTAAGTCATTCATGAACCGGTTACAAAATTATATGGGGTTTTGTTTGGCACTTGTTTTACGGTTATTTTTACTTGCTTAAAATGAATCTTTATCTTAACAAAATAAATCTTTTTTCAAATGAAATTAAATTTACTGATTACAGTGTAATATTTACTATTATTATTTATTATTAAATTATTAATAATCAAATTATAACAATTATAATAAAATGTAAAGCATAATAACTGAAAGAACAAATATTTCATATGTTCAATTTGCTTATATTTGTACTTAAGCCAACTACATCCCTCAGTTGAATTTATATTAATCTAATAGAAATCCACAAATTTTCTGCCATTTGTTGTAGACAAATATTTTTGAATTTCGCACACGTTCTTCGGCCAAAAAAAATGTACAAAAATTGAATACGAAAAAGAGAAAGAAGAAACCTTTTTCCGCAAAAATGGTGACAGAGCAGATTGCAGACCGCCTACTCGGAAAAATAATCCCCAGCCGATTTGAACGATTTATTATTTGGACCAGCCAACTCGGAGCCTGTCCGAAAACCAGGAACCATTAATCATCCGAGTCCGGATCCAAGTCCGAGTGGTGGACACTCGACACTGCAATTGGTGGACATTTTGGTGAAGAAACTTTTGCGGTACGTGGCAACGTGTTGAAATTACAAAATGTGTTAAAAAATGAAAGAGCGGTTGGCAGGGTAGCGGGTAAAAAGCAAAATAAAATATTTCATTCACACCCAGACTTTTGTCTCTACTGGCCATCCATATAAAAAACATAAATTTCCTTTGAGAATAGAACTTGTGGGGCGGCAAGGTGATTATGTTTGACAGCCGGCCTGGGACATAGAGCCCCGCCCCTTTTTCCATCGCCAGACAGGACATGGGTACCAGTACAGCGGGCAGATCCTGGACAAAGTGCGGAAATTGGCTTCACTCTCCGTCTGATTTATTGCCAACTATTTTGTTTAATTCTCCCCACTATCTGGCTTTGGATGCTCGACTAAAAAAATACGATACAAACTTATTTCAAAACCAAATAAAACGCAATTTCCTTTTCTTTGGCCTTCATTATAAAGCATTTCAATATACCCTGGGGAACTGCGAAAAATATGAATAATTGAAACAGCTGAAGAAAATAATATAACCAAATCAGAAGGCCAAATCTGTATTTAATGTTTCACATATTTTTGGAAGGGGGAACAGAATGACAATTTGCTTTTTGGCTTCAACCTCCCTCAACTGAAATTGATTTTCAATGTTTTTCGCCTAAAAATACACAAAAGAGTCGAAAAAATTTGCCTTTGATTGTCAGCTGAATGTATGTGGGTGGTTGGTTGGTTGGTTGGTTGGTTGCTGGGTTGGAAAAACCACTCCAAATCCACTTCACCAGATACGTCAGTACGGAATCACGAACCTCGCCTGATTTCTCCAGTGATTTTTCGCAATCAACCTGATGAGGATGTGCAGAGGACGATACTGATGTAGGCAGTGCTATGATTAGTATCCTTTCAGCCAGGTCAAAAGCGACTCTCTCGCATGCCAAGTGGCCTCGGCCAAATGAAACTTTAATGCGGAACAAGGACACAAGGCTAAAAGAAGCCGCCTGATGAACTACGTGATGGTCAGAGAATTGGAAGTTACACCTGTAAAAATCTTGCGCTAAGGATTTGGGGGGATTTTCCAAAGGTGATGAAGAAAATCATAAAACACCTTAATCTTGCAAGTATCTGGCTATAAACTATAATTATTAAAAAAAAAAAAATTAAATAAATTAAAAAGTTTGAAAAACGTGGAATACAGGATATATAAACAACAAAATTCACTAAATTCACTAAAAACCCGGAGGATATAAACTACACATTTCAAATTTAAAAAATCTTTGTCTTTAGCTCTTTAAATCCAAATCATAAATAACTTTAAATATCATAAAAATCCTTTATCCTTTAAAAATCACGATTACAGTCAAGACACAAAATGTTAGTCTAATTTTATCACTGGATCTTATTAATTATTTTGCGAAGTGCACAAGAATAGTGAACGACAAAGTGAAACGCATTGAGGTTGGTGGCGGAGAAACACGACTAGAATCTGGAATTGTTGGCTAGCCTACTCCCACTGCCGATTTATGGCTTACTCTGACTAGCATATGGCAGATATAGCCGGCATATCAATGGCAATAAAGTACTTGGTCCACGAGTATCTCTATTATCCTGACTGCTTTTGCAATTATTTCTGACTATTTTTCGCTGTCTCGTTTACGGGTCCTGGGAAAGACAAACAAAGGATATTTCGCGCACACGCCTTGGACATGATTGCATCCGGGCAGGAAGCCCTGCGTCGTCTACTCCTGCATTACAACATCCTCGCTTCCTTCCTGCGGATCCTTTCGCTGGTCCTGGCCTCATCCGCAATTTTCACGCCCACTTTGTTTGATGATGACAAATCTCGTTGCGTGTTATCAGATTGGCCAACTTTCCGCTCCCCTCCGGATTGCATAATTATGTTTATCTTTGGTAGCTGTGCTCCTGCCACGTGTCCTTGGGTTTTTGGTTATTCCTCCGATTTTCTCCGCGACCTCGGAACGAGCGGCACGTGCTAATCGGCGGTCGTCTGCAACGCCCCTGCATCCATCCACCCATCCACCCATCAACCCCCCTTGTAAATGCAATACCGCCCTACATGGCCGATAATTGAAATCGCTAAGCTGAACATCGGAATTGGAATGGCTTCATTTATCAGGTCAATTCAATGGCAGCGCATAATGTCCTCCAATAATATGAATTGGGGAAAGGGACTAAGTGGGAAACATAATGCCCATCACTTAGCTCGATTGAATTTGCTCATTTTTTGTTTGCTAATTAGAATAAGTTATTTATTATGTTTTCATAACTAAGAATTTTAGTATTACAAAATGTTTATGATTTATAAACATTAATCTTATTAAAGGCCAAATTCTCAAGGTCATTTTAACGGGCAGTTTTTTATCTATCATATAAGTTTTTAATTCGATCAACTCTAATCGAAAAAAAAAAAAACATTTTTACTCAATGTCCAATTAAACTTAATTTAGGGGTTAGGCGTTATTGCTTAGCCCTCTAGGATTTAAAAAATTACTTGTCTTCGTAGTGCTGAATTGTTTTAGGCATCCAAGTAATCCTTAAATTGAAACAAATTATAATATTTTTAAATATGTAGATGATGCATAACAAAAACAATTTATAATAAGAATATAAGTAGTTTTTACCTGTTTAAACAATCAAAAATGTGCACCTTTTTAAATTAAATTTGCTCATTTACCTTTAAGGACATCCTTCGGTTAATGAGTGCACTCACGCCCACACCAACGCCCAACCGAATGAGTGTCGCCCTGCGGACGCATAAATTATGAATAAAAGCCTCACACACGTGGAGAAAGGGAGGGAGAGGGGGATATAAATAGTAGAGAGAGACGGGCAGCTACACAGTCTGAGGCCAAGAAGTGTGCTAAATATTTAAATACTTAAAACCATAAACCTGAGTATTTATAAATTGACTTTAACAAGCTCATATGGGGAGGGGGAGGAGGTGTGGGTGTGTCTGTGGGCTGACCCTTTTTTTGGGCCCAAGGATCTGCTCGACTCCGTTCATTAGAAATGCTCACTAATGTGCCCGACTTAATAATAATCAAATTTATATGCATGGTTATGTCCTTTAGAGCAGGACCACAAAACTGAAGTTTCGGAGGACTTTGAAGGGGATTGGAAGAATGGCATTCTCTGAGAAAACGTTGAGAATGAGTCAAAGAAAAGTGTCAATATCCTTGTTTTCCCAAAACTTCTGACCAAAAGTGCAGCTGTCCGGTGTTAAAAGTGTGGTTTGCAACACGCCCAAGTCTAGTACCGTTATTTTGTTACCAGTTTCTTGTTTGTTTTTCTGTTTGCTTGTTTGTGGCCGACACTGAGACTAAATGGCCAAAAAGGTTGCATCTCCCGGGATTTCCAACGTCCTGCTGCCGGCTTCCTTATTCTCCTCCTGTCTCTTTTTGCCCCGATGAGTCTTGAAAATGTTCACAAAAATTAATTATGAATGCTGGGATCTATGTTGTGATAGGCCCTTCTTTTTTGGCTAGAAACATTTTTGATTTG